AGCCCCGACACCGTCCGGCTCGCGCGGCGCGACGCGCCCTGCCAGGCGCCCGCGCCGCCCCCGCCGCCGTCCCCGCTGCTCGGCGGCGCGGCCGCGCCGCCAGGCGCCCCCTCGGGCCCGCTGCTGTCGGCCGCCAGGCCTCCGCTCAGCGAGCGCCGCCACGACGGCAGCGCGACGCCTCCAGACAGAGGACCGCCAGACGCGCGCCGCGAGCCGCCGGCCGACGCCGACGCCGCCTCCGGCGCGGCCGTGCCCCTCCCGCCGTCGCCGGCGGCGCTGATCTGGCGGCTGGAGCGCCGGCGCAGCTCCTGGGCATTCCAAACCGAGGGAAGGGATTGGATCAGCAATCCGCTACGAGGTTCTGCAAGGTCGAGGTCCAGACGGCGGAGAAAGGCAGGCGAACCCCATCAGCCGCCATGTTCAGCCTCAGTCGCCGCTCCCAGTGCGAAGCACCCGCCCCCGCCCCACGGTTTGAGCACAGGGTGCCAGCGGCAGGGCGCCGCCGCCGTCGACACCCCACCTGCTGCGGCGGCGGGATGGGCTCTGGCGCATCCTCCTCGAATCGGCTGTACCCAAACCCGTCGCTGTCCGGCGTCCCCCGCCCCGACCGCGCCACCCCACCGCCGCCGCCGCCGCCGCGCTCGAGGCTGCCACGGCGGCTCGTGATGGTGCCGTGTGGCCCCGGCTGCGAACGCGGAGGGGCGTCCGGGTCGCTTTCCTCCAGCGTGGCCATGGTGGCCGCGGGCTCCTGGTCAGGGGGGAGGCGGCCTGGGGGCCAGGGGGCGCAAGGTGCGCGGCAGGGCCCTGAGGTGTCAGGAGGGGCTGAATGACGATGATTGACGGCGTCGGTTTGACGTTTGAGGCGGTGCACAAGGTCATGTCTGCATTCGGACGTAGTGTTCGTGTTTGTACACGCATATGCTCGCCCACACGCGCGCCCAAACGCACGCACACGGACGCACGCAAGGCCGAACCCACCTGAGAGCGTGCGACTGGTCCGCCTGCTGGCCGGCCCGTGCAGCGCCAAGCCCTGCACATACGCCTCGCCCGCGCCGCCGCCGCCGCCGCCGGGCCCCTGGTCCCCTCCGCCGCTGGCCCGCGCTGATGCCTGCCTGCTCAACCGCCTCGCGCCCGCGCCCGCGCCTGCGGCGGCCCCGTCGCCGCCTGTGCTGCCAGAGCCTGCGGCCTGCGCCGCCTCCTCAGTGGTCCCCTGCGCTGCGGCGCCAGGCGGCAGGCTGCGCGCGGAGGTGCGACTGGCGCGGCGGCTGCTGAGGGGCTGCGGGATCGACACCATCATGCCTTCGTCAGTGGAGAGCTCCTGCAGGAAGGAGCAGGCGTCGCGCGGGCGGGCGCACAGGTCGCGGACGTGTGACATGACACAAGCGACAGGCGCACCCCAGCAATGACGCGGCGGCGGCCCAACAGCATGCCCGCGCGATATCCGAGGGCAACCAGGGTTGGTGCCCTTAGAGTGTGTATGCACCGCAAACCAAATACGAGCGCATGCACCCTCAAGCAAAGCCCTGCTGCATGGCAAAACCGCCCAGGAGCGGCGCCCGCCCCCCTGCCCTTCCAAACACACTCACACACACACACACATACACATACACACACACGCGTGCACGAGAGCACACACACACGCACACACACACACACATGCGCGCGCGGACACACCAAAAAAACACCTGATCAAGCGTCGTGCGGCTCCCGCGGCGGCTGCTGCGCCCCGATGGCGGCCGCGGGCCTGCATCCTGCGGGCCCTCGTCGCCAGCACCAGCGGCCACCGCCACGCCAATGGTGAAGCTGCCGCTGGCCGCGGCGGCGGCGGCGGCCGCGGCAGCATCCTCCGCCTCGGCGACAGCGGCGGCGATCGGCAGCTGGCGCACGACCGACGGATGGTGCTGCTGCTGCTGCTGCTGCTGCTGCTGCTGCTGCTGCTGCTGCTGCTGCTGCTGCTGCTGCTGCTGTTGCTTCTGTGCGTCTGCTCCACTTCCAGAGATCATCCGCGAGATCTCCTCAAAGCCGGCTACCCCCCTCGTCGGTGCAGCAGCCGGCGATTCGTGAGCCGCTGCGCCCCCGTCCACGGGCGGCTCCTCGCCCTTCACCGGCGTCCCCCAGAAGTCACCCGCAGCATCCCAAGCCGCATCGTTGCTATTGGCGTGCGACCCCTCTGCTTCGTGCGGCCACGAGCCGCGCCGCTGCTCCGGGCTGCCTGCAGCGGTGGTCCTCAACTGCTGGTCCCCTCCGTCCTCTGCCGCCGCCAGCACGGTGGGCGGCGCGCCGGAGGCCGCCGCCGCGAGCTCGCGCGCCGAGCCGACGCTGCTCAGGCGCCGCACCCCGACCGCGCCGCTGCTGCTGATCCTCACGCCGCTGCCGCCGCCGGCCCCGCCGAGCGAGGGCACCCGCGGGGTGGCGCCGGCACCGAGCCGCGAGGGGCCGCCGGCGCCAGCGGCCCCAGACGGCGCGCGGCCGTTGGACGACGTGATTGGCACCAATGCCTCGAAACCCTCGTCCGAGGTTGAAAAATGGGCTCCGATGAAGCCGGCCAGCTGCTCGGACGCGTCGGACGGCTGGGCGCTTATGTATGGGGACACCCCCGTCTCGCCGGGCGCGACGCCGACGCTGCTCTGGCGGCTGGCGCCCGGCGACGGCAGGCCTGCAGTCCGCGCGTGCGCGTGCGCCGCGTTGGAGGCCGGGTGCGTGCTTGCAGCACACGGGCGCCCTGGTGTGTGCAGAGAAAGTGCAGGGACACATGCAGGAGCTGCCTCGCAAGCTTCTCCTGCGTGGCGGCGGCTTCTGCTACTTGTCATTGCGGAGTCAGAGCGTTGTTGCCAAACATGAACGGACCAGCTCACCTTGCGCCTTGGCCTGCTGCCGCGCCGCGGCCACGATCGCCGCATCACCAGCCTCGTCCTGGGCAGCCTGCAGCCCAGCTGCCTCCGCCGCCACCACAGGCCCCACCGCCGCCAAGGCATTGGCTGCCGCATCATCGTGGGCGCCCGCTGTGCTGCCCGGCCCCTGCTGCTGCTGCTGCTGCTGCTGCTGCTGCTGCTGCTGCTGCTGCTGCTGCTGCTGCTGCTGCTGCTCTGCCGACGGGTCGTCGCCGTCCAGGTCGGGCGAGAAGCCGGGCGGCAGCTGCGCGCGCGAGCACTGCGTGACCTTGAGCACCAGGTCCTCGCCCTCCTCCTCAATCACAAATTGGTGGAACTGGACTGCAAAGCGCTCTGCAGCGCCGACGACCACGTAGCAGCCCCCGGCGGCGTGGTACTCTTCAATAATCCCATCCTGATAGGACAAGCTGGCCCCGTCCCTGCGGCGTCCCAGGGCGTGGCGCATGCATGCGCATGCAAGATGTGAGGGGCTCGCTGCGCGGGCGGGGGCGCGCTGTGGAGGAATGGCCGTGCAGCGGCACGCATGCGCGTGGGCTTGTGGGCAAAAGCTTCAGCTGCACGGCGGAAGCGCCGCGCCCCCGCGCGCTCACCATATGGCAACCTTCAGGCCGCTGAGAGCAGCCTTATCAAGCACCAAGCGCGCAAGGGACGACATGAAGGCGTGGCCGCCCGGCTGCGCAGCCAGCGATGATGAGCAGCGCGGCGGTCAACGTCGCAAGTTTGGTGCGCGCCGTCTGGCACGACGCGCTGATGATGCGTGTCGTCCAGCAGTGATTGTATCCAGGCTCGATGTGTCAAAGATAGAGTGACCCAAGCGCCGGGTTCAGACGACCTAGCTGACACCGCGGACGGTTCGGACAGATCAGTGCGTGACCGGACATTTCACAACTTTATGTGATTTCGGATTATTGAGTGTTGCAAGTCACATGCTTGGATTGCGCGTCCGTGGGACCATGCAACCCATGGGTTGGAACAATTTGAGTTGCAGTACGTACTTGTATACAAGAATACCAAAGGGATCTTGAAATTTGAGGATTTAAGGCTGTAATTCAGCAGAAATGATGCCGTGTGACACCTGCACCCATCTGGGTGCACGGCAGGGGGTTTGTACAGCCTGTTGGTGCGGGCTCACTGCGGTGCTACCAGCGTGCAACCCACCCCCTCTGCATTGGTGTGTTTTGCCAGCATGGTCCATATCACCCGCGGAAGAGATTTGCCAGCATTGGCCATATCACCCGCATGCAATTCTTTTACTCATCCTTTGAGCATGATAGTGGTGGTGGCACCTGCGTTTGTCACCACATGTCCACATGCCACAGCGCTGGCCCTTCTCGTGCACACAACATCGTGTGCCGTCAAATCCGAGCATCAAAGCATCAAGGAACAGATATCCTAGGTCAATGGCAGTGTGCCAAGAGCCGGGGCGCCCAACACTGATGGATGCGGCGCAATGCCTGCCGATGGGTCACCCTCCCGCGCAGCTGCGGCTTTTGACCGCCGTCACCCCACATGGGGTCGGCGAGCCGCACAACTCTAGTTCCGCATTCCTCTGCAGAGTCCCCCCACGACCATGCCCATGCAATTATAGAATGCCGATCACCCAAACACACAGGAAAGGGGGAGACCTGGTACCAACACGCGATTGTCCGGCGCAGCGGAGGCGATCGTGCATGCCTGTTCAGCTGGCGGTGCAAGCCCTGAAGCGACGGCGGTGGCAAGGCAACAGAATGGGTACGGCTCAAGAGGTCCTGCGCAACGGCTGTTGCATGCAACCAAAAAAGATGGCTGACGTGAGCCTTGCAGCAGCCGCGCTCACTGCACACACGCGCCACCTTCGCAATTTGACCGCCCAAATCAGAAACAGTGGGGTTCGTGGCCCGGATTGGCTGCAGCCAAGTCAAACGGGCAGCTGCTAGAGCGGCGCTCGGTATGGTGCTTATTGCAAGGGAGCGGCCCAGCAAAGCCGTCGACGCAAACCCGTGCGCACCGGCACTGGCAGCGGCCTCCCAACACTTCTCTCCTGCTCCTTATGCGCCAGCTGTGTATGGTGGCAAATAGGGTGTTGTTTGTGGCAGTTTGACGCGCGCCGCAATCGGAAGTCACTCTTGGAAAGCGCATTGCAGCAAAAACTATTAGAGCCGGGAGGAGCAGGTAATGGAATCCGAGCTGTCCAAGTATGAAAGCGTAGTGCCGACTGCACCAGTCCGAGCAGCCCCGCTGGGTGCAAGCAAAATCAGTGAAGTAGTCGTGACTGCATCGCATCGGGCTGCCTGGCTCCAGCCAGCGCCCGGCGCCCGCTGCACTCCAGCGCCCGTTTTGCACAACGCAACAAGAACTGGGGCACAGGGAGCCCAATCACGGGGCTCCTGTGAATTCTCGTATCGCAATTGGATATGTAGGCACACAATTGCTGATCGGATTGCGGCCGACCGAGCACAAAAGCTCAGTGAGTGGCCCCTGGCAGTGCGCGCCGGCCAGAGCAAGCAGGGACCGACGGACAGTGTCGCGCTCGCGCGGGCAGAAGCGAAAAACAGCGCCCCCCGTGACAATGTGGAAAGCGCCCGTCTGATGTCATGCGTCTTGGAGCCTGCACAGTGCCGCCGCCCGACGAGCCGTCCGAATCATCCTCAATTTGGGGGTCCACGAATGCCCCGTTTTCAGGCGCCGCAAACAACGGGCCGATCCCCGTGTGGAGCAGAAGCGATTTGGTTTGGCGAGGACAACGTGTAAAGAAAACATGCCTCAGTCGCAGCACCGCGCTCGGCGGCTGCAGCCGGCAACCTCCCACCCCGCCTGGCCGGGCGCAGGGGCTGAGGTGCAGGCCCCGTGCTGCAGGAACAGCCGCCGCGTTTTCAGCTCGATGGCCGCGCGCACGGCGCAAGACACAAGGACGATGGCAGCCGTGCGCCCGAGCGCCCAGGCGCGCGGGCAGCCGAATGCGAGGGAGGCGAGGGCAGCGGCGGCTTGCTTGGTCAGCTCTGATGGCAGCGCGTCCCTCAGGCGCAGCTGCGGTTTTGGAAAAGCGATGTGGGCGGGGCAGGGACAGCCGGTCAGATCCTGGTGCCACAGCCTATTGTTTGTCTTGGTTCTGCACATGATTCTGAATTCCATGCGTCACATACTTGGCGCAGCTTGGGTCGCTGCCTGCCTGCTGCGGTGGTGATGGCGGTGCAAGCCGATGTGCCGCGCCCGCCCAGGGCACACACGGGCGCGCGCGTACGCGTGCGCCAACCTCGTACCTGCGAAATGAAGGGCGTCAGCACCCCATGGCACGCCACCCACACGACCGACTCTTTGAGCTGTCCTCGGAAGAACGTGACGAGCGGCGCCGGCAGCGCCTCGGGCTGCGCCAACGTCAAGGCGGCCGTCGCCGCCGCCGAGGCCCAGCCGTGCGCGATTACCGCGGCGTCGCGGCCGCCGGGGCGCAGGGAGAGGCGCGCGGCAAGGGCCGCCAGGGGGATGAGGTTTGTCAAGATGATTGCGGCGTGCACCCAGGTGGCGACGCTGGACGAAGCCGGTCTCCTCGCGGCCAGGACGGCTGTGGGTTTTGCAGCAGCAAAGGGGAGGAGGGCGCGACGGGTAAGACGAGGGTGCGCGGGCAGCTTGAGGGGTGGGGGAGTTTCATCAGGCGTGGGCGTGGGCACGACACGGTCCATGCCAAAGATGCTGCACCACGCGCACGGCCGAAACATGATGCTCTGAAACCCTCAGAATCGAAGATTCTCGTCTCATTTCACTGGTCCACTACCACGGCCGCGGCTCCTTGAGAGCCGCCCAGCCGCGCTCACCGGCCGTGGCCAGCCCGTGAAAGGCAACGCTGAACACATCTACGGCCGCTGTGTGGCGCTGCTTCCAATCCAGGTAAGCGGCCTCCGCCCCCGCAGGCTCGAAGCCGCGGGCCAACCAGCCTGTCGCGACCCACCACCCCGCGCCCGCGACGCCGGCGGCCCGGCGCCGCGCGGCGGCGGACGCGCGCGCGATCGCCGCGCTGGCCGCGAGCGCGGCGCCGTACGCGGCGAGCAGCAGCCGCAGCAGCGCGGCCGCCGCCAGGGCGGCGGCGGCGACGGCGGCGCCGCCGGCCGCAGCGGCCGCGGAGGCCACCGGGTCGCCCAGGCGGCGAGGGGCTCGCCGCGGGCCGACTGTTGCGGCGCTTGCCGCGGCCTGGGCTGCGGCGGGG